TTGCCTGGGCAACCCAGGTGAACCAGGCGGCAACAGCTTCCTGGGTCACTCAGTCCTGGATATGAAGCACAGTTCAGTGTTCGACTCTGACTCTTCCTTCTAGTGAGTCCGATAAAAAGCTGGTGGGTACCCATCTACAGAGATTTAGCACATCTAGTGCCAGAACCACCTTCAAAATTTTCCCATAGTGAACCAGCATACACTCGGTATTCAACGGCTACAGTGCCAGGCAGAAAGCCAGTTCCGCCAGGCATTCCAACAGCAGTGATCCCACTGCTACACCAGATGGCTGACCTACGATCACTAGCTCTGGGACAGACACAAGCATTTCAGACTGCTTGAGTCCCCCATAAAACAGGAGACACAGGCCTCATGGGTCACTTACCCTGCGAGAGCAGCACAACGGTTTCCAGGACAACCACAGTTTTTCCCAGGTGGATCAGACACTACACCCTCAATGGCCACACTTCGACATGTTTCAACTACATACTGTTCACCTGGGTGTAGCAGATCTGTTGACTTCAAGCGTCACTGCCTCGGGATTGATAACTAGTACAAACTTTTCCAACAAGGACTGAGTCCCGAATGAACCAGGGAAAACAGTTCTTATTTGTTCAACATCCTGCTAGTGACCAGCCACAGCAGTTCCAAGACAAACACTAATTTTTCTATAGTGAATCGGACACCATAACCTCAATGGCCACAGTCTCACTGTTTCACTATGATCTCTCGCTGGTGTACCAGACATGGTGGGCACTTCACAGTCACGAGCTCTTGGGACAACCCCATAATGGCTATTCCAACTCTGACTGTTCTCCTGTAAAAAAAGAGACACAGCCCTTTGTTACCCATCGCTGGACACGACTGGTTTTCTGTGTCCAACTCCAGCTGTTTCTCTGGTGAAACCAGACACACCAACCTCTCTGGTCACCCTTACTGCACAGCCAGCAACCCCTGTTTTTAGAGACAACCCCAGTTTTTCCCACAGCAAACAGATATCAACCTTCACAGCCACCATCTGCGGGCAGAAGGCAGTTCAGTTGATGGCTAACAAGGACTCTCTCACCCTGGGTACCAGACAATATGTGGACCCACAGGTCACGAGTCTGGGACACACACCAATATAGTTCTTCCAACTTGACTGTTTTCTTCCTGGTTAAACTAGATATTCACAGCCTCATTGGTTACCCATCCTGGACACAGGCCGGTTCTTCTGTTCCCAACTCCAACTGTTTCTTCTGGTGAACCAGATACAACAACCTTCGGATCATCATCCCTGCAAGAACAGCACCCCTGTTTCCAGAACAACCCCCAGTTTTCCACAGTTAAACCATATACCACACTTAGAGGAGCCTCCAGCCTGGGGCAGATGCCAGTTCCCTATGCCGCAATGACTCTCTCACCTTGGTGTACCAGACATGGTGACCTCACAGGGCACGGATTCTCTGGGACACACACCAATTATGTTCTTTTTTTATTCCACTCTGAGTGTTTTCCGTTGTAAAAAGAGACACAGCTCATTGGTTACCATCCTGGGACGCAGGCCATTCTGCTCTTCCAACTCCAGCTGTTTCCTCTGTGAACTGACACAACAATCCTTCAGGTCACCATCCCTGTTCACTGCCATGCCTGTTCTCAGAACACCTTCCCCTCCTCCTCCCCTCACCCAGTTTTTCCACAGTTAACCAGATACCACACTCAACAGCCCAGTCCTGGGCAGAAACGGCAGTTCACTATGCCAGCAATGACTCATCTTCACCTGGGTGTACCACGACATGGTTACCTCACAGGGTCACGAGCTCTGGGACACACACCAATATGGCTCTTTCAACTCGAACTGTTTCTCCTGGTATAAAAGAGACCACAGCCTCATTTGGTTACCCATCTGGGAACAAGCGTTCTGCTCTTTCAACATCCAACTGTTTCTCTGGTGAACAGACACAACAACTTCTCAGGGTCACCCCATCCTGACCAGCCATTGCACCCCTGTTTCCAGAACAATCCCCTGGTTTTTTCCACAGTAAACCAGATATCACAGCCTTCACACAGCCACCATCTTGGGCAGAAGGCAGTTCAGCTGCTGCTAACAAGGATCTCTACTAGTATACCAGACATGGGTGATCCTCACAGGCAGAGTTCTGGGAACACACCACCAATATGGCTCTTCCAACTCTGACTGTTCTCCCTGGTAAACTAGAGACCACAGCCTTATTGGTTACCCAACTGGACCACAGATCGGTTCTGCTGTTCCAACTCACAACTGTTTCTCTGGTGAACAGCAAACAACCTCTCCGATCACCCATCCTGCACAGACAGCACCTGTTTCCAAACAATCCCAGTTTTTCCCACAGTAAACCACGATATCACACCTTAAAGCCACCAGTCCTGGGCAGAAGGCAGTCAGCTGTGCTAACAAGGACTTCTTTAACCTTCAGTATACCAGACATGGTGACCTCACAGGTCACGAGGTTCTGGGGAACACACAAATTCATGGTTCTTACAATCTGACTGTTTACATCCTGGTAAAATAGAGACCACAGCTCATGGCTTACCCATCTGGGATACAGACTCGCGTTCTGCTGGTTCCAACTTCAACTGGTTTCCTCTGGTTGAACCCACACACAACAACCTTCAGGTCACCATCCTGCACAGACCAGCACCCTGTTTCCATAAAGAAACTCAGTTTTTCCAGTAAACCAGATACACACTTCAACAGCCCAGCCTGGGGCAGAAGGCAGTTTCAACTATGCAGCAATGACTCATCTCACTGGTGTACAGACATGGTTGGACCTCACAGTCACGAATTCTAGGGCAGCGACCAGTACAGCTATTCCAACTCTGACTCTTTCTCCTTGGTGAACCAAAAAACCAGAACCTTATTGGTCACCCACCTTCAGTGGCAGCACCACAGCACAAAAACTTCCAGCTTCACTGACTTTCCTCATGTGTTGGAAACCACAGCCTCGCTCTGTACCCAGTATGCTGGACAGACGGCCAGCGACGGACCATTCCAACTTCAACTTTGTCCCGCTATGATTCTGACTGGAGGACCACACAGGCTTAATTGGCCACCAGCTCTTGGGGGAAGCCAAGCACAGACATTCCAGCTCTGACAGTTTGCCCCTGGTTTCCCTGGGCTTGCTGGTGCCCGAAAACGGTAGGCTTGAGTACGTACTTTTTTTGAGCACAGAAAACCTCACACCATAACTTCAGTTGGATCCCAGAATTTGTCCACAGGCTGTCACCAGGTACCTACACATGACCTTCGACACTTCAGAAACCCCATGGCCACCTAAAACCAGTCACGGGAAAGGGAGTTAGTCCCAACCACCGGTATCCTGAAAACAAACATTGGTGGAGAGACCACTGAAATCTACCTGCCGCAAGTTCAACCCCACCAGGCCTGAGACCCAAACTGCCTTCAGTACACCAGCTGGAGATCTCTTTGCCACTTGGGACCACGCCTGGGATGTCTACGTCGGCCTCTGAGAGCGTGACTTCAGAACACAGTAAGTAACTTATGTTATGTATGTATGTATTGTATATATGTTGATTATTATGTATGTAATTTGAGAGAGCTCGTTCTGTTCACCCGGGGTAGAATGCAGTGGGGTCATATAGTTTACTGCAACCTTCAAATCCTGGGCTCAAAGCAATTCCTCCTTGCCTCAGCCTCCGAGTAGCTGGGATACAGGTGCCCACATACCCACACCCAGCTTAAATGTTCCTATTTGTAGAGATGGGAGTCTCAAACTCTTGCTCAAGGCTTCGGTCCCCAACACCTGAAGCTCAAGTTGATCTTCCCACTTCGCCTCCCAGAAGTGCTTAGCATTATTAGATGGAGCCATGTGGCCCACAACTGAATTAACTTTTAATTGTGGTAAAAATAGATAATAAATATAAAATTGCCATTTTAACCATTTTAGTATAATATTGGCAGCATAATGAATTCCCACTTTTGTTGCAACACCTCACTATCTTTCTCCAAAAACTCTTCTTTACCATCCCAAACCAGAAAATTCTGTAGCCATTGATTAGCAAAAAATTCCCCATTCCCTAGACCTTGGGTGACTTTAATCTTTTACGAATCTATGATTTGCTGCGGTTGTTGGCTATTTCATATGAGCAGAATCATACCTTATTTGGCTCCATATTGTATCTGGCTTATTTTCAATTAACGATATATTTTCAAGGTTCATTCCATGTTGTAGAATCTATCAGAACTTCCTTCCTTTTTATGGATGAATAATATTCTGTTGTGAGATATGCCCACATTTTAGCTATCTATTCATTCATCTACGGGTGGACGTTTGGGCGACTTCCACCTCTTGACTGTTGTGAATAATCTTGCGATGAACATCGTGGTGCAAATAAGTGCTTGGGAACCTCTTTTCAGTTCTTGTGGGTATGTGCTTAGGAAAGGAATTGCTGGCTCATATTGATGCAATTAGTTTGCTAGGGCTGCTACAACGAAATACCACACACTGGGTGGCTTAAGCAACAGAAATTTGCGGTCCCACAGTTTCGGGGACTGGAGGAGAACCCTGGGAAAATGCAGACAGTGTGCACCTTGGAGACATCCACCAGAGGGGTGAGGGGGTGTTTATCCCCCAACTTCCATCAGCCACGGCTGGAGGGCTGCTCTCCGGGCCTGTTAATTCCCCCAAGAAGAAGAGATGTAGCCGCTGGTGTGTGTTAGAATAGTAAGAATCAAGGGGATATGGGAGTGCTCAGACGCTTATGCCCAGGGCCCCTTCTCACTTTTAAAACTGAAAAGTTTGTATCCCAGGAAGGTACCCAGCAGACTAGGATAGTTGGTCGCCCTATGCAAGAAGGTCTTGGGCAGTGATTCCTGCACAAGGACTTTCAAGCAGGGCAGCCGGGGCTGGACCCCAGCTTGGCACTGGAGTTAAGGGGTGCCCTCAGAGCCCTTCCTCCCACCCACCTCCAACCCGGGACCTGACTTAGGACTGGTCTCTTCTTACCTTCCCCTGCTGCAGCCCAAGTTCCTCCGTTGATGCCTTTTACCCTCAACTTCACCATCACCAACCTGCACTACGTGGGGGGCATGGGGCACCCGGGCTCTGAGATATTCAACGCCACCGACAGGACCCTGCAGCGCCTGGTGAGAGCCCCCCCACCCATGCCCGAGTCACCTCAACCCTGCCACACCCTGCCGTCTCAGCAGTGCCTCCCACTCACCCCTTTCCCTCCTTCCTAGCTCAAGCCCTTGTTCCAGGACAGCAGCATCGGCTCCGGCTACTCTGGCTGCAGACTGACCACGCTCAGGTGAGACCTCCTTCCCGCACACCATGAGGGCAGACAAGCTCTGTGCTATGGCAGACAAGCTCTCCGGGGGGTGAGGACCTAAGCGTGACGCCTAGAAAGCAAGGATTGTGAATGACTGAGGCCTTCCAGGAATTCAGACTCGGAAGTCCCTCCGCTCTGGCTGAGTGTATCAGAGAGGGCTTCCTGAAAGAGGCAGCCATCAAAGATCTTATACTACCTGGATACCCAGAGGCATGGAGCATTCAGGCTCACCAGTCAGAAAGGGCAGGATTGACTCACTGAGCAATCGTGGAATGAGGCATCCCTGGCCGGGCCTTGTCACAGGTACTAAGGACACCTGTGTCCTTAGAGAGAGTCGACCACGGGCCCTTCCCTCAAGGTGCTCATAACGTAAAGAAGGCAGCGACCACGTGGACGTAGAGCCATAACAGGAACAGGGTTAGTTCAATGGCAAAGCTCTCCACAGGTGCCACGGAAGAGCCCAGAGAAAAGACTTTTAGCTCAACCTGGGGGAGTTGGGTAGAAGCTGTCTGGGGATGGTTATACCTGAGTCAAGTGTTGACAGTTGAGTGTGTTTTGTCCAGAAAAAACAAAGGTGTGTTCAGGGGGTAGCCCATCTTAAGGAATGGGACAGGTGGGAGAAATAGCATAATATGTGAAAAAAGTTCTGTGAAATTGGAAGAGTAGAGAGTGGAGCAAATAGCAATTGAATGAATGAATGAATGAATGAATGAATGAATGAATGAATGAAAAAGGAAACAAGAAAAAAGGGGAAAGAAGGAAGGAAGCAGAGTTTCAGAGAGGGGAAAGATGATAAGATTAATTTGTTATCCATGGAGTCCAGGCTGTCCCTGAGGCCGCTGGTTACATGGGACACAACTCAGGAAAGCAGTCCCATCTAGACAAGCGTGAGATTGGACCTGGCAATAATGGAGTTGGTAGTCGAAAGGATGGATATGAACCAAATGACCCAAGAAGAATGGGTGGCAAAAGAAGAGAAGTCAGTTGAGGTTGAGACCCTGGAGATCAATCTCCACTTTACAGAGTAGGGTGGGAGCTGGACAAAGAGGTCCCAGAAATAAATGTGTCTGAGAAACCAGACAAGACCCAGTAAAGAAAGATGGGAGAGGGCGGTTCAATTTTAAAGAGACAGTTGGACAAAGTATTTAACTCTTCCACATCCATCCCTGGATGTCCCCATTCCTACATCTCAATCACTCCAGGACTGATAAGGACGGGGCAGCCACCAGAGTGGATGCCATCTGCACCTATCGCCCTGACCCCATGGGCCACGGGCTGGACAGAGAACAGTTGTACCAGGAACTGAACCAACTGACCCATGGTGTCACCCAGCTAGGCCTCTACACCCTGGACAGAGACAGCCTGTATGTCAACGGTAAGTGTCCCTGCTGCAGCTGGGGTCTCCTACAATCTCAAGTCTCTCTGCATCAACTAGGGGCGATTTTGCACCACAGGGGATGTTTGACAAGGTCTGCAGACATTTCTGTGTCACAATTAGAGGGATGCTAATGGCATCTCATGGGTAGAGGCTGGGGATGCTGCTAAACATCCCACAAATGCACAAGGTAGTGCCCCCACCACCACCATAAAAAATTATCTAGACCAAAATGTCAATAGTGCCAAGGCTGAGAGAGTGCCGTGCACAGATTTGTAGTTCTGGTACAAGCCTAGCATTTCCTTGGGGATTCAGTTTTGAATGCTTAACACATCAAGGGAGGCCAACTTTCCTTTCCTCTTGTACCGCCTGGGATGAAATGTTTCCTCCTTCATAGTCTCCAAAAAGCCCAGCTGGGGCATGAAGATGCTGGCTGGGGAAAAAAGACAGTGATACAAGTCCCTGTGGTCAAGTCTTCCCCCAATGGGCAGCAGGCTCCCACTTCATTCTCATGACAACTTTTGACAAACTCTCAGTTTCCACGGGCCAGCCAAAATGACGGGGATGTCATGGAACAAACACCAACCACCCTTAGCAAATACGCCACAAATCATAACTGTTCACACAACCCCATTAGCAGCAGGGCACTTAGTGGCAATGCTACCACCAAGAATAGCAACTGTATTCTAACTATCTAAGCCAGAAAAAAAAACCCATACCATCATAACATGTTGTGAATGAGAGGGAAGCTGTGAGAGCAAGAATACGATTCGTTTATCTTTATGGATGGAGAGAACAGGTGCACCGGGATGGATGGATACAACCAGTTGTGTGGACAAGGCTGGAACACACACTCATTCACAAATGTGTCATTTTACCCTTGCAATGTGTTTAGTGTTGGTGCTGGTACATAGTATATCCCCAATACATCAGGGAGGCTGTTATTATTGTATTTTCAGTTTAGTACTACTAATGGTGATCATGTTCATCCTTTTTATCAAAGGACAAAGCTCATAACAGGTATCAAATAAAATGTAACTGTTCTTACTTGTTTTTCAATATATTTCTCAGAAAGTTTCTTGGTAAGTTTCCATTGCTAGGTCTGCTACCCATTTTCCCCTCTTTTATCTCTTACCTATCGTAATAACGCTTCTTTATTCTTCCATCCCTATCTGCAGGTTATAACCATCGGTACTGGACCCCTACCACCAGCAGTGAGTATTCGAAGCTGTGATACCCCAATGCCCACATGACCCTTCCTCCCCAAAGTGCATTCCTTAGAAGAGAAACCAGCAAGGCTCCTTCCCTAAGGGCCCAGCCGCAACCTCAGAGCAACCCTAACCCAAGACCAAGGTCTTGGTCTAAGTCAAGAAGGAAGCCCAAATTCCAATTAGAAACTTCTGCTTCCCATTCCCTTAGGATGACACCTGATCATTTTTCCCATGTTCTTTTTTTCTTAGCTCCAGTGACAGTGACTTCCACATTTTCTCCAGGGGTTTTCACACCCTCCATCCCCAGCGCTACAGGTAGGAACCTGCTCACTGGGGTCCATGAGATTTCAACACTGTATGGTCTTGTTCAAGATGACCACCCAACCTCAGCCTGTTTTCTCTTTCTCTCAAAATATCTCAACAACTTCCTCTCTTTCTCTCCCTTTCTCTTTCTCTTTTCTTTTCTTTTGTTTATTTCGGCATATTAAATGGGGGTACAGATTTTAAGTGTTCATAAAGCCCATTTCCCCCCCTCCCCCCCACAAGTCTGAGTCTCCATCATGGCCATCCCCCAGATGTGCACATCTCACTCTATTATGTGTATAATACCCGCCCCCCTCCCCCCTGCCCAATACCCTATATGTAGTACCTATGTGACCACTTAGGTGCTGCTCAGTTAACCAGTTTGCTGGTGAGTATATGTGGTCTGTTTTCCATTCTTGGGAACTTCATTAATAGTTATCGGGTTCCAGCTCTAACAGGAAAAGATAAAATGCTATGTCACCATTGTTTCTTAGAGCTGAATAGTACTCCATGTATACATATACACATTTTATTTAATCCATTCTTGATTGATGGACATGGCTGTTTTCCACAGCTGCAATTATGAATGTGTGCTGCTATAAACGTTCAGCAGGTGTCTTTTTTGCAAGTGTCATTGGATCTTTTGGTAGATGCCAGCAATGGGATTGCAAAAAAGGAGAAAATCAACATTTAAATATCTCCATATTGCTTTCCACAGAGGTTGAACTAGTTGCAGTCCCACCAGCAGTGCAGGAGTGTTTCTCTCTTCCGCAACCACACCAGCTATTATTGTTTGGAGATTTTTTTGATAAGGCATTCTCACTGGGTTAAGTGATATCTCATTGTGGTTTTGATTTGCATTTCCCTGATGATTAGAGATGTAGCATTTTTCAATATTTTTGTTGGCCATTCTTTCTTCTTTAGAAAAGTTTCTGTTCAAGTCCTTTGCCCACTTTTTAATGGGTTATTTGATTTTCTTCCTGATTTTCGTGAGTTCTAAGTATATTAGTTATCAGCTCTATCGGATGCATAGGATGCAAATTTTCTCCCATTCTGTAGGTTGTCTGTTTACTTTCATGACTATTTCTTTGGCTGTGCAGAAGCTTTGTAGTTTGATCATGTCCCATTTATTTATTTTTTGGCACTATGATTGCCTTTGGGGACTTCTTCATAAACTCTTTGCCCAGGCCGATGGTAGGAGAGTGTTCAACTTTTTCCTCTAGAGTTCTTAATAGTTTCATACCTTAGTTTAAGTCTGTTATCAGCGTGAGTTGGTTTTTGTGAGAGGTGAAAGGTGTGGGTCCTGTTTTAGCTTCTACAGGTGGCTATCCAGTTTTCCCAGCACCATTTATTATTGAAAAGGATTCTTTTCCCGGCGTATATTTTTGTCTGCTTGTCAAAGATTAGATGGCTATTATGTAGGATGTTTATATCAGGATTCTCACATCTGTCCACTGGTCAATATTCCTATTTTTGCCGATACCATATTGATTAATTACTACAGCTTTGTAGTAAGTTTGATATCTGGCATATTAATGCCTCCCAATTTTGTTTTGTTGCCTAGAATTGCTCTTGAATTCGGGTCTTCTTTGTTTCCATACGTAGCTAAAATTATTTTCTATATCTGTGAAGAATGCTGATGGATTTTAATAGGTATTGCATTGAATCTGTAGATCAGTTTGGTAGTATAGAATTTGATGATATTGAGTCTGCCGATCCATGAGCATGGTATGGATTTCCATCTGTTTACATCCTCTTGCTATTTCCTTCCTCAGTGTTCATAGTTCCCTGTAGAGTCTTTTACGTCCTTGGTTAAGTATATTCTAGTACTTAATTTCTTTGTTGCTATTGTGAAGGGAATTGAGTCTTTGATTTGGTTTCAATTAGATTGTTGTTGGCGTATAGAATCCTCTGATTTCTGTGTATTGATTTTGTACTGACTTAACTAAATTCATTGATCAGTTCCAGGAGTTTCTGGTTGAATCTTTGGGTTTCTAGATACAATATCATATCATCAGCAACAAGTGAAAGTTGATCTCTTCTGCCCCATTTGGATACCTTTGATTCCATTTTCCTGTCTGATCGCTGTAGCCAAGACTTCCAGCATATGTTGACGAAAAGTGGAAATAGTGGCAGCCTTGTCTGTTTCAGTTTTAAGTGGGAATGATTATAATTTTCCCCATTCAGTATGATGTTGCTATGGTCTGTCATATATGGCTTGTTACATTTTTAGGTATGCCCTTCTATGCCTATTTCTTAAGTGTTCGTATCATGAAAGGGTGTAGAATTTTGTCAAAGCTTTTTCGCATGTATTGAAAGAAATCATGTGGTCCTTTGTTTTTCTTTGTTATGTGGTGAATTGCATTATATAGATTTACGTATATGTTGAACCATCCTGCCATCCCTTGGAATGAATCCCACTTGTCGTGGTGGATTACTTTTTGATAAGTCAATGACGTATAAATATTATGTGAAAATTTATGCCATCTAATTCATTAGGGGAATTGTATGTCTGTAGTTTTACTTTTGTTGCATCCTTATCGTTGTTGTATCAGAGAATATCGCTTGCTTAAATAAAGGTGTTCGGGGAGGTTTCCGTTCCTTCTTCGATGTTGTGGAATAGGTTCTGCAAATAGGTATAGTCTTCTTTGTAATTGGTAAAATTTGGGTGATGAAGCCATCTGGACGGATTTTCTTTTAGGAGATTTTTAATTGCTGCTTCTATTTCAGCTGTTGAGATGGTCTGTTCAAGGAATCTATACTTTCCTGTTGAGCCTAGGGACTGTGTGTTTCTAGAAATTTGTCCATTTCCTCCACATTTTTCGTGTGTGTCATAAGATTTTTGTAGTCATTCATAAATTTATCTTGTTTATCTCTTTTTGGATCAGTTGTGATATCTCCTTTTTTATTCCTGATGGAGCCTTATTAGAGATGTTCTCTTCTTCTGCTTTTCATTAGCTTAGCCAATGTGGTGTCATATTTGTTATTTTTCGAAGAACATACTTTTTGTTTTATTAACTCCTGATAGCTTCCCTGTGTTTCAATTTCATTTATTCGATTGGTATTTGTTGATTTCACGTTCTTCTGCTTGGTTGGGGTTGTCTGTTCTTGCTTTCCCAGCTCTTTGAGTCATTCGTTAGATTGCTATTGTTGGACTTCTTTCTTTGGTTATAGCGCATTTGGACGGATAAACTTTCCTCTCAGAACTGCTTACTGTCCCAGAGATTATATAACTGTCTCTCCATTGTGTTTTCTTCATAGAATTTTTTTATTTCCGTCTTGATTTCTTCATTATGAAGTAATCATTTAGTAGGAGTTGTTTTATTTCCACGTTTTTGTGTAGATGTGAGTTCTGTTAGGTTAATTTCTACTTTTATTCCCTGTGATCTGAGAAGGTACATGTATGATTTCTATTTTTTAAATTTCTGAGATTTACTTTGTTCCTAGATATGGCAACTTAGAGAAGCTGACTGAGAGAAGTAACAGTATATTTCAGTGGATTTTGGGTAGAATGTCTGTAAACGTCAGTCAGACCGTCAATTGTATCTAGAGTTTGTTTTAAGTCACATTTATTTCCTTTATTAATTGTTCTGTTGGAGGACTGTCTCGTGCCACAGGGGTGTGAAATCTCCGTGGATTATGGTAGTTGCTATTAAATCATTTTGCTTAGCTCAGTAAGGTTTGCTTTATGATCTGGGTGCACCTTAATGTTGGGTCATTTATATTTAATTGTTTGATCTCTCCTTGTTGAACGTGCCCTTTCATCATTATATAATACCCCTCTTTGTCTTTCATACTTTTGTTGTTTAAAACTAAAATCGTCCTGAAAATTAGAACTGCCACACCAGCCTTCTTTGGCTTCTATTTGCTTGGAATATTGATCTCCACCCTTTTATTTTTAGTCTAGTGCATACTGCAGTTTAGAATGTGTTCCTGAAACAGCATATACTTGGCCTGTATTGTTCTTATCCATTTCAGCCACCTATTCTCTGAGTGGAGGTTAAGCCAGTCCACATTTATTGAGAGAACTGATAGGAAGGTAGATTACTGTTCATTCTCTTGGTTGGATGTTTTGCTATGATTCTGTCTTGAGCCATTGTAATATCGCCTTAATATCTTTGGTTTTGGTTGTTTTAATTCGTGGGTTATTTAATGATGTTCCGTGTACCTGTTTAAGTACTTCTTGTAGGCGTCTTGTCTTGGTGAATTCTCTAGCCTTGCTTGTTGAGAAATGTTTTTATTTCTCCTTTCATATAGAAGCTTTGTTTATTGCAAGGGAAAAGATTCTAGGCTGGCATGTTTTCAAAAGAGTGAGAGGGCTAGTCTCTCCTGCTTGTAAAGTCTCAATTAGAAAACCTGGATTATCGAATTGGCTTTTCCTTGTATGTTACTGCTTCTTTTTCTTACAGCTCTTAGAAGGGCCTCTTTAGTTGATACTTTGGTCAGTCTGATACTGCATGTCATGACGTCTTCCTGTTGCATGAACTCCCAGGAGTCCTCTGAGTTTTGAACTTGTATATCAAGATTAGCAAAGCCTGGGAAATTTTCCTCTATTATATTTCAACACTTGTCCAACCTTAGTGTTGTCTCTTCCTCTTTCCTGGTACTATGACCTTCACATAGGTTCTTCACATAATCCCACATCTCTTGTAGGCTTTGCTCTTTTCTCTTGTTCCTCTGCTCTATTCTGTGCTGACTTTATTATTGGAGGGTGTTTTCAAGCTCTGAGATTCTTTCTTCTGTTGATCTACCCTGTTCTTGAGACTTCCACTGTATTTTGTATTTTGAATTGATTCTCATTTCAGAGTTCGGTTAAACTTCTTCATTGTGGTCTATTTTTTTCCATATCCTGGAGCTTTTTGTGGTCTTTGTGTTGGTTATTCGAGTGTTGTTGCAGCCGTGAGTGTTCTTATGATCCACATACGAAATTCTCTTCGTCATTTTTGGTTTGCCTGATTTGGTTGGTGTCCGTTTCTAGGGGCTGGGCTCCTCTTTGGGGGTGTTTTTCATGTTTGGTTCATATTTCTGAGTTCTTTCGCTGATTTCTCCCATGTCGACGGTGTTGTTTCTTTCCTTTAGGTTATTGTTTGGTATTCCACACCTTGTTTAGTTTCTGAGGCGTTAGTGGTGTCTGTGGTGAGATTGACACTCCGTGTATAATTGAGTCAGTGGGTGCCTGGAAAGGGCTGTGCAAGCATGCCGTCCCTGTCAGTAGGTGGCGTTTGACTGGGAGGAACAGGTATGCTGCTGTTGCATTTGTGTTGCCTGTTATCAGCTCTTGTTCTGGGGAAACTGGGTTGGGTTAAGCCTGCCCTCAGCATTAGCAGGGGCAAAGTTCTGTTTGCACTGCTCCAGGAAAAGCTGTCAGGGCGGGCTGGAATGGTCCCGCTCAGCCAGAAAGTCGGGTATGGGGTGGGCTGTCTAAGACCTCCAGTCTGGAGCGGGCCTTGCTTTCCACCCTCCCCAAACTCCGCAGCTACTCCTGGGCCTCTGCCAGCAGGCCAGACCACAAGCCACCAGGCCTCCCTGGACTGTGATGCCAGCAGGGAGGTTCCCTGCACAGGAATGCCACCTGGGCTGGGCGCACAGCCTCCTCCTGGGAGGAGGGTTGCCCTCTAGGATGCTGATCTGCCCCTGGAGGTGCACACACCTCAATAGGCTTGTCACGTATAACCCTTCTGTGCCCAGGCAATGCAGCCCTGGGTGCAGGGATCTAGTCTGCAGGTCCGACCTCTGGGTCCCAGAGTTCAAACTGTATCCACCAAGGAAGAGAGTTCCGGTCCCAATTCACCCACAGGGACCCAAGCTGGGTCTAAGTCTCTCAGCCTCTGAGTCGGCACCGTTCTCCTGGAAACCGTGCCAGCAGCACCTGGGAGAGCGCGGTAGGGACTCACAGTCTGAAGTCCCCTGAGTCAGCTGTAGGGTCCCAAAGGGAAGGTCCCGTCCTGGAAGTGCCTGGCTGGTGGCTGTATGTCCTCTGGCAACCGCGATAGGGTCGGCGGAGGGAAGGAGGAGGCAATATGGCGCCTGCTGCCCGGCTCGGGTCTGTGCACACAGAGGTGCCCGGAGGAAGTTGGGAACCTGGTGCCATGTCTGCTACAGGCTCACAGCTGGCTGGCGGTGGCCGTCTCTGGGCTGTGTCCGCAGGTCTCCCACCTGCTCTGGGAAGCCCACCAGCAGTCCCCAAATGCAGGGAGGGGAAACAGCAAATCCACCTACCCTTGCCACTGGTCTCCGGGCTGCTCCAGTGGTCTCAGCCTCCAGTTCTCCTCCGCAGCCTCCTCCTGTGGAGTCTCCCGGGGTCTCCGGTACCCCTCCTTCCAGCCCTCGTCCGCTGTATGCTCGTCTTCTTGCTTCTTTTTTCTAATTTCTGCTAGAATCTGTCTTTTCTGCAGAGACACTCTGTCTGGCTGTGTTTCTCGTCCGCCATCTTGCTCCTCTCTCTTTCTCTTTTTCTTTTTTTCTCTCTCTCCTTCAGCCACCCTAGACACTTGCCTGTTCTTATAGGACCTAACCTCTGTCCAATCTCAGGACCTATAACTAGCTATTCCTGGAGACTGGCTATCACTGGTACCTTCTCATCTTTCAAACCTCAGTTCAAGCATCACCTTTCTAAAAGACCTTCCCAGACCACAAGACCACCTTACATGAAACAGCACTTTCCCCACATATACACCCAGCATGTGAGTTTCTTCTATCACATCATTGTGATTATTTCCTTCATAGAATTGATTGCTAAAGTATGGTTTATTCACTCTTCGTGTGTCTGTCACCTGGAAACTGACCACCTAGCCAGCACTCAATACATTATATTTATTGATTGAATCAGCCAATGGATGAATGAAGCAATCCCTGCATATGCCCACAATTTGTGGATTCTATGTGAACATCCATAAAATCATTAAACATCTTAGTCACAAGTCTGATTCTCACCCTGTCTCCTCATCTTATCCAAATGTGAGTCTGAGGCCTCCTGAGGCTCCAGGACCCTGCCACAGGGGCCTGGCTAATGCCATGACATCTGTCCTTCCCTAGCCTTTAAGATTTATTTTTAAAGTTGTATCTGTGGTTCTTTTTCATGCTTACATCATGATGCTGGTTGGGCATTCCTAACCCTTAACCTTGCCTTGCAATTCTAGAGTTATGAAATACAAACTGGTGTCCTGTAATTTAAATTCTGCCTTCAGGGCTTCTATTTTTTGTGAGTAAAGACATTGCAAATATTTTACATGCTCCAGAAAGCATACACACTCTTCATTTCCTCCTTGTTCCACCGTGATCAATTCGCCCATTTGTGTTACATGCCTAGCTCCTGTGGGCTTTTAAATATGTGACATGTGTTGCACAAGCCAAGTCATTTCACGACAGATGATGTCATTTTTCTCCAAATACGTACAAAATTCATTCTTTCTCTTTGGTTTTCCTCTATGATGATGTGTTTGGGGGTAGTTTTCTTTGAGTTTATCCTGTTTGGTATTTTTTTAAGCTTCTTGATTCCGAAAGTGTATGTTTTTTAAGAAATTTGAGAAATGTTCAGCCACTATTTCTTCAACTTGGTTTTTCTGCCCTAATATCTTTCTCTGCCTCTGGGCCTCCAATGAAATGATATTTTCACACAACACACTGAGGCTCTATTCACTTTTTTGTCAATCTTTTTTTTCTCTGTCCTTCAGATTCAATAATTGATATTGATGTACCTTAAAAATCACTAAGTCTTTTTTCTATCTGCACCATTCTGCCTATCCATGAATTCTTTCTATCTCGGGTACTGTGTGTTTCAGTTATAAAACTTTCATTTGGTTCATTTGTTTCATTTAATATTCACCAAAACCCTAGCAGTTAGCTACTACCATTACCACCATTTTATAGAGGATGAACTGGGACACAGAAATGTGAAGTAACTGGTCCAGTCAACTATCTGGTAGAGTAGCAGAGCTACTCCAATGTAGACAGCCAGGCTTCAGGGCCCAAACCCTAACCTTATGTCATGAGGTGGGGGACATGGATTTTTCTGGAGAAAGATATTGACTTTTGTGTATATTATTGGGTTTTAACATTTTTAATTGTGGTAATATACACATAACATGAAATTTACCATCTTAGCCATTTTTAAGTGTACTGTTCAGTGGTGTTAATTTAAATACATTCACATTGTTGTGCAACCCAATCTCCAGAACTTTTTCATCTTGGAAAAGTGAAACTCTGTACCCATTAAACAGCAATCCCCAGCTGCTGCATTTTAGGAACATTTACTTTACTCCTCACCTGGCTTTTGGTCTTTGGTCCTAAGGTAGCTCTCCTTACCTCAAAGGTTGATTTAGAGCCCAATTCAGGTATGAATCGGGTGTGCACTCTTTTTCTCCTCCCTTGATGCAGCGGAAATCCCTTTCCTCGTGCCATTCACTCTCAACTTCACCATCACCAACCTGCAGTACGAGGAAGACATGGGGCGCCCAGGCTCCTCAAAGTTCAGCACCACGGAGAGCGTCCTGCGGAGTCTGGTGAGAGCCCCGCCCACCTGGCCCCGCCCACTGATACAGTCACGCCCACTCCACTCTGCCCGGTCCAGTGGTGCCGACCACACCCACCTCACCCTGCTCCGCCCCTCCAATGCCCAACCTCCTCCTGCCCGCCCTCAGCCATTCTTTCTCACTTCCCTTCCCTTTCTTCACAGCTCAAACCTTTGCTCCAGAATAGCAGTCTAGGAAACCTCTATTCAGGCTGTAGACTGGCCTCGCTCAGGTGAGACCCTTCCCAAGAAAAACACAGCCCAACAGGTGGGTGGGACCCTCACCTGCAGGATCCCTGACCAGGGATGGGTGCTGAGACATGAAGGCTTCTGACCCCATTTTGGACCAGGCATAGTATCAGACAAACCCACCAAAAAACATCTCTCCCAAGCCATTTAGCACCCTTGAGTTTCCATAGAAATCTGCTAGTCCTGCTAGTCCGTAGGATCTACAGCAGGTGAGATGAGCCTTCTGTTGCTACCATCTGAAAACACCAGCTCTCTGGAGGACCATATCACTCATCATGCCATGGTTACCTGGATGTGGGCCACTACCACCCATAAGAGTTTGACACTAAGAACCGTGGTATGTCCATCAGAGCTTGTGACAGGATTTGGCTTTGGTGGCATCATTTGACATCTCCCAGGATCTTCCACCCCATTAGCAGTACCCTCAGTGTATCTGTCAACATCCAATACTTTAGGAAGCCCTTTGGGTATGAAGGGGGCTGGCATTATTTTTTATTTTTTTAGAGTCAGGGTCTCACTCTGTCTCTCAGGCTGGAGTGCAGTGGTGTCATCACAGCCCTCTGCAGCCTCCAACTCCTGACCTCAAGTGATCCTCCCATATCAGCCTCCTGAGTAGCTGGGACTACAGGCATGCCCCACCATGCCAGGATAACGTTTAAAATTATTATTGTAGAGACAGAGTCTTGTTATATTGCCGAGGCTGATCTCAAGCTTCTGACCTACAGTGATTCTCCAGCCTTGGCCTCCCAAAGTACTGGGATTGCAGGCATGAGCCACTGTGTCCAGCCTAGGGACTGGCATAATTATCATCATTATTTGTTGATGGTAGGCATATCCCTGAAGACAGCAGCTTCCTTGATAACTAGGTTTTCCACAGTGTCTGCCATAGTGGCTGATGGTGGGAGGCAGGGACAAAAACAGAGAGAGAGAGAGTTGAACCAACCATGTGGAGATTCTTACCCAGATCCGAGAAGGATGGGACAGCCACCAGAGTGGATGCCATCTGCACCTACCACCCTGATCCTGAAGGCTTCAGACTGGACAGAGAGCAGCTATACTGGGAGCTGAGTGAGAAGACCCATGGAATCACAGAGCTGGGTCCCTACACCCTGGACAAGGACAGTCTCTATGTCAATGGTGAGAAGCTGTGATGTGCTTGGAGTCTCTGCCTCCTTGCTGGGAGGTCTCTGCTCTCTTGCTTGAGGTCACACTCCCTGCCTGGCCATCGAAGTCTTGGCTTGGCCATGTGGTCTGAATTTGAGGGCTGAGATCACAACTTCATGGTTTCCTCTTCTTCTTGGACTGAGGTGGTCCTCAGCACCTTTTTCTCTGATGTGGGGGTGCTGACAGGGAATCAACCATAAAACCTCTTCCATTGCACCAGGATAGCCCTAACCCCTATTTTGTACCCAATTCTCCCTTAACTCTTACCTACTATGTTCCCTTCCTCTCACTGCAGAGTTCACCCATCGGACATCTGTCCCCATCAGCAGCAGTGAGTATTCAACAGACGACCCATGCCCCTAACCCTACACCAACAAGAGCAGGTGTGCACACCCCCTCATATCCTTATCAGGAGGGAAAGAGCTGGGAGGACATGTTTTGTTCCCTTTCCCCTCTGCCCCATCTCCAGAGAGGGTCCACGTTAAAACCCCTCATACAGTAAGCACTATCAAGAGTCCCTGCTTCTGGCATTTCTGCCACGAGAATGTTGGCTTATGTCACTAATGAGGGTTTCTCCTCAGCACCTGGGACATCCACAGTGAATGTGGAAAGCTCTGGGACTCCATTCTCCCTCCCCAGCCCCACAGGTGAGTAACAGTCAGTGGCACCTCTATCAGAGCATGCACCGTGAGGATAAATATTTCCGTAATTTTCACACGAGTCAAGACAGAAAGTCATAGACAATCTAGTGATGAGAAGTCAAACATCAAACTGTATTGAGAACCTACTCTGTGCCAGGCCCTGGGAACACAGTAGGGAAGACAAAACAGATAGATATCTCTGGCTTCAGAGAGTTAATCTTGTCCCAATAGTGATGGTAATGGTGATGGTGGTGGTGATGGTGGTGGTGGTGGTGGTGGTGGTGGTGGTGGTGGTGGTGGTTACAATGGTAATGATGATGTGAAAATGGTGATGATGATAATGATGGTGATGCAGATAATAGTGAAGGTGATGCTGATGATAAAGATGGTGATGATGATGAAGATTATGGAGATGGTCATGGTTATGATGGAGATGGTGGTGTTGTTGGTGGTGGTGGTGGTTGCAATGGTAATGATGATGTGAAAATGGTGATGATGATAATGATGGTGATGCAGATAATAGTGAAGGTGATGATGATGAAGATGATAAAGAAGGTGATGGTTATGATGGAGATGATGGTGATGGGATGATGGTGGTGGTGGTGAGAAAAAGGATAGATAGTGATGTTGACCATGATGATGATGATGATGATGGCCAGAAGGGTAGTTATGATCATAATGTGATGATGGTTTTGATGATGCTGGTGGTGGGGGTTTTGGTGATAATCACAATAATCATGGTGATGGTGAAAATGATGGTGACAGTGATGATGAAAATGATGTAAGGTAACAGAAAACATCTGGCATTACTGAGCAATGACCATTGACCAAGAGCTACACTACGCTTCTAGCTATTATTTAATATGATGTTTAAAAACTTCTATCATTATACTCAAAGGAGGTGTGGAAGCCCATTATTTTATCACTTTCTTTAAATCCTATTGCATACATTTAAAATTAAATCTATTGCAAACTCTTCTATGTTCTCCATGTTTGAACATAGTGCTTATTTCCCAACCCCACCAGTCACTGAACCTCGCCTGGTGCCGTTCACCGTCAACTTCACTATCCTGAACCTGCAATATGAGGATGTCATGCATCACCCTGGGTCCTGGAAGTTCAACACCACAGAGAGGGTCCTGCAGGGTCTGGTGAGAGTCCCTCCCACCTCATCCTGCTGACCTCATCAGATCCCCAACTGACCTATGTCAGGATCACAAAAAAAGACCACACCCACCTCAACAACTACTATAGAGATGCAACTCCCCCACACCTGATTCTAGCTCCACCCACCTTACTCTGCCTTGCACTGATCTCCTCAGCCCTCCTGTTCACCTCCCTCTCCTTCCCCTACAGCTCAGGCCCTTGCTCCAGAACACCAGTGTCGGCCCTCTGTACTCTGGCTGCAGACTGACCTTGCTCAGGTAAGACATTAGAATCGCTAACCAGGGCTGCCCAGGTGCTCCCAAGCCCAAGGAATTTGGTTAGCTTCCTTCCTGCCCTCCCTGTGGATGTCCTTAGTAGAGGCGGAGTTCAGGAGGTGCTGGCTCCAGGACAAAGGCATTCCTGGTCCTACCATTCACCCTCTCTGCTAAGAGATTCTGCAGAGTCAGTATTGGGTCCCAGCCTCGGCCATCTCTCTGAATTCCCACTTTTCCCTGACCTTTAGATTTCCCATTCTGTCCCAAAGATGTCTAGCAAGACAGATCTTCCTACTCCACCTACTTTAATAATCATTTCCAGCTCTTCACCTGTCTCAAGTATGAGCTTTCATGGCCTCACACTGTGAGAACGAGGATTCACTTGTGATTTTATAAAAATTCTTGTATCCATGATTCTGTTCAGTCTCAAACTAGCTCAGTGTCAGTGCACTCAATCTAAGTGTGGGCTTCTCGCTTCACTGCCAAGTTTCTCATTTCCTCTGGCCCCTTCCTGTCTTGCACAAAGGAATCTCTGGACCTCTATCTAGGTGATTTATTTATTGTCACTCCCCTTGCCTTCCCTCCCCAGGCCTGAGAAGGACAGGAGAGCCACTGGCGTAGACGCCATATGCACCCTCCACCCTGACCCCACAGGCCATGGGCTGGACAGAGAGCAGCTGTACTGGGAGCTGAGCCAGCTGACCCACGGCATCGCTGAGCTGGGTCCCTACACCCTGGACAAGGACAGTCTGTATGTCAATGGTGAGGAGCTCTGATTGGGCTGGTGGCACTTCCTCCTTGCTACGCAGCCTCTGCTTCCTGGATTGAGATCACACTTCCTGCCAGGCCACTGAGGCTAGGACATGTTGTCTAGATGCAATTATTGAGGTCTCAACTTTCTGGTTTCTTCTGCATCTTGGACCAAGTTCACCCTCAGGACCTTCTTCTCTGATGTGAGGGTGCTGATATAGAATCTCCAATAGCCTCTGCTCCTTGAACCTCTTTCCACTGCACCAGGTAGCCCATCCCCATTTGCTTCCACCCAGTTCTACCTTAACCCTTATCTACTATCCTCCATCCCTCTTGCTGCAGGTTTCACCCATAGGAGCTCTCTCCACGTCACCAGCAGTGAGTATTCAACTGATGTTCCCATATCCCCAATCCTACACCAAACAAGGCAGGAGCTGACCCCTCTTCATACCCCCTTATGTCCTCATAAGCTATTCCCTTTGCACTATGCTCCAGCTCCAGAGAGTCCCAGCTCAAGCCCCACATAAAACAAGCCCTATACCCTATCAATAGTCTCTCCTGCTGGCATTTCTGCCATGGGAGTGCTTGCTGATTTCACTGATGAGGTCATCTCCTCAGCTCCTGGGACTTCCACCATGGACATGGGAGCCTCTGTGATGCCTTCCTTCTTCCCCAGCCCTATGAGTAAGTACCAGTCAGCGGCTCTTCTGTTAGAGCATGTCTGATGAGGGTAAACATCTCTGCCACTTTCTCTAGAATAAATATGGAAAATTATATTAAATCTAGTGATGAAGAGTCAACCCAAATGGTTTTGAGCACCTCTTTTGTGTGAATGCCCGGGAATAGAGTAGGGAAGACAAGAAAGATAAAAATCTCTGCCCTCATGAGCTGATGTTCTTGTGCTGATGATGAGGATGGTGATGATGATGGTGACAGTGGTGATGGTGGTGGTGGTGATGAAGGTTATGATGAGGATGATGGTGTGATGATGGTGGTGGTGATGATGGAGATGATGATGATGATGATGATGAACATGTTGATAATGATGGTGACAATGGTAGGGATGATGGAGATGGAGGTGGTAGTTTGGTGGTGGTGGTGATGATGACAATAATGATGGTGATGGTGACAATGATGGTGATGATGATAGTGATAACAAAGTAACAGATAACATGTGTCATTATGGAGCATTGATTATGCACCAAGAACTGTACTCACCATGTAATTACTATTATCTTATATGCTTTAAAAAACTTCTATCATGATAGGTAAGGGAGGCATGGAAACCATTTATTTTATCATTCCCTTTAAATCCTGTGACCTATATTTAACAATAAGTCTATAGCAAAGTCTTATACGTGCTCTACTTTTGAACATAGTGCTTATTTCTTGCACTCACTGTAGCCACTGGACCTCTCCTTATGTCATTCACCCTCAACTTCACTATCACGAACCTGAGGTATGAGGAGGACCTGCTTCACCCTGGCTCCTGGAAGTTCAACACCACAGAGAGGGTCCTGCAGGGGCTGGTGAGAGCCGCCACCCACTTCACTCTGCCCTGCCCACATCTCCTCAACCCTCAAACTCATCTCCATCTCCCTCCTTCACAGCTCAGGCCCTTGTTCCAGAACACCAGCGTCAGCCCTCTGTACTCCACCTGCAGACTTGCATTACTCAGGTGAGACCTCATAATAGCTAATCAGGTCAGCCACAGGTGCTCCCAAGTCTGAAGAATTGGTTGGCTACCTTCCTGCCCTCCCTAAGCATGTGGTCAGCAGAAGTAGAACTCAGAAAGCTCTGGCACCAGGACCAAGCTGTCTCCTGAGCCTACCTCCTTCCTTCTCAAAGGAGAGATTCTGCAGGGAAACTCAGCAGGGTTGGGCTCCTACTCTTGTCATCCCTCTGAATTTCCACTTTTCCCTCACATCCCATTCCTTCAGGTGTTAAATACTGTCCCAAGGATTGCTCCCAAGACAAACGTGCCTCCTCCACTTGCTTTAATGCTCATTTCCAGCTCTACACCTGTCTCAAGGCTGAGCTTTCTTGGCACTATGCCATGAGAAAAAAATCACATCGTCTTGTGATTTTATAAAAATTTCAGGATCCGTGAATCTGCTCACAGTCCCAGACTAGTTGGGTGCCAGTGTAGTCAGGCAATCTAAGAGTGGCTTTACAACTCTATACCAGGTTTCTCAGTTTCTCTGTCCTATTCCTGTGCTTCCCCCAGAAATCTCAGCACCTCTAGGAAACCCATGTATTGTCATTCCTCTCACCTGCCCTCCCCAGGCCCGAGAAAGAAGGGACAGCCACTGGAGTAGATGCCACCTGCACCCTCCGCCCTGACCCCACAGGCCATGGGCTGGACAGAGAGCAGCTGTACTGGGAGCTGAGCCAGCTGACCCATGGCATCACTGAGCTGGGTCCCTACACCCTGGACAAGGACAGTCTCTATGTCAATGGTGAGGAGCTGTGATGTGCTTGGAGTCTCTTCCTCCTTGCTTGGCAGCTCTGCTTGTTTGGCTTGAGGTCAAACTACCTACCTGGCCATCGAAGGCTTAGCCATGCTGTTTATATGTGAAGATTGAAGTCTGAACTTCCTAGTGTCTTCTTCATCTTGGACCAAGTTCATCCTCAGGCTCTTGTTCTCTGTTGTGAGGATGTTGATAGAGAATCTCCAACAGACCCTGCTCCATGAAACTCCTTTTATTGCACCAGGGTAGCCCTCACCTCTGTTTGTTTCCCAAGGTCTACCTTAACCCTTACCCACTATCCTCCCTCCCTCTTGCTGCAGGTTTCACCCACAGGAGTCTTGTGCCCATCACCAGCAGTAAGTATTCAACTGATATTCCCATGCTCCTGATCCTACGCCAAGCAGGGCAGGGGCTGACCCATCTTCATACCCCGTCATGTCCTCATCATGAAAGGAGCGGGGAGGGCACAAGTTATTCCATTTCCCCTGTGCCCCAGTGACATAGTGGCCAGCTTAAGACCCACACACAGCAAGCCCCATCAATATTCTCTCCTACTGCCATTTTTACCATGAGAGTGCTACTGTTTCCACTGATATGGGCTTCTCTTCAGCTCCTGAGACTTCCACGGTGAACCTGGGAACCTCCAGGGCTCCATCCTCCCTCCCCGGCCCCATGAGTAAGTACCAGTCAATGACGCTTGTGTTAGAGCACGCCCCATGAGGGTCAACATCTCTGCCAGTTTCACTCCAACAAAGATGGGAAGCCATAGAAAATCGAGGGATGAGGAGTCAACCCACAAACTGTCCTGAGCACCAACTCTGTGTCGGGGTGTGGGAATACAGCAGGGAAGGCAAAACAGATAAAAGTCTCTGCCCTCAAGAGCTGGTATTCTTGTGCTAATGATGGGGATGGTAGTCATGATGATGGTGATGGTGGTGGTGGTGATTATGAGGATGATCGCCATGATGAGGACCATGGTTATGATGGTGATGGTGATGGTGAGAATGATGATAATGATGATTCTGATGATGATGAAGACAATGACAGTGATGGTGGTTATGATAGTGATAATATTGTGATGATGATGATGATGGTGGTGGTGGTGGTGGTGGTGGTGGTGGTGGTTTTTCTGATCATGGGGATTACAATGGTGATGATGGTAACAGGCATGATAGTGGTGGTGATGGTGGTGGTGATGACAACCATAATGGTGGTGTTTTGACCATGATGAGGAGACTGATGCTGCTGCTGCTAATGATGATTGTGGTAGTGGTTTGCTTGTAAAGATCACGTGATGATGGTTTTGATGATGATGGTGGTGGTTGTGTTGATGGTGACAGGAATGATGATAGTAATGGTGGCGATGCTGGTGATGATGATGATGATGATGATGATGATAGTGGTGGTAGTTATGATGGAGAGGATGATGTGAAGATGGTGACCATGATGAAGATGGTGGTGGTGATGATGGGGATGATGATGATGGTGGTGGTGATGATGACAACAATGATGGTGATGGTGACCATGACAGCGATGCCTAGCATGATGACGATGATGTTTGGGGTGCTGGTTACAGCCATAATGATGATGGGAGGATGGCCTTGATGCAGACGGTGTTGGTGGTGATGATGGGCATAATGACGATGGTGGTGGTTGGTTTTAGTGATGTTGAAAATAATGATGATGATGATGATGATGACAATGATGGCAATGCCAACAATAATGATGATGGTGGTGACAACAAAGGTATCAGAAAACATCTGGCATGATTGAGCACTGAATATGCACCAAGAGCTATGCTCAGCTTCTAGCTACTGTTATCTAATATGCTTTTTTAAAAAAAACATCTTCCATCATTATAGGCAAGGGAGGCATGGAAACCTTTGGTTTATCACTCACTTTGAATCCTGTTGCATACGTTTAAAAATAAGTCTACTGCAAATTCATACATGTTCTCTACTTTTAAACATAGTGCTTGTTTCCCAACCCCACTACAGCAGCTAAACCACACCTGATGCCATTCACCCTCAACTTCACCATCCTGAACCTGCAGTACGAGGAGGTCATGCGTCACCCTGGCTCCTGGAAGTTCAACACCACGGAGAGGGCCCTACAGGGTCTGGTGAGGGCCTTGCCCATGTCACTCTGCCCTGGACACCTCACCTATGTCAAAGCCATGGAAAAGGATGCCACCCCACCTCACCCTTGCCCCAAGAATGAAAGCACCACCCACTGCACTTCTTCTCCATCCCTACTCACCTCTCTCTGTGTCCTCCACAGCTTGGGCCCTTGTTCAAGAACACAAGCGTTGGCCCTCTGTACTCCAGCTGCAGATTGACCTTGCTTAGGTGAGACTTTAAAATAACCAACAGGGATTTCCAAAGTTCTCCCAGGCCCAAAGACTTTGGTCTGCTTCCTCCCTGACATCTCTATGAATGTCCTCAGCAGAAGTGGAATTAGGGAGCACTGGCTCCAGGACCAAGGTGTTCTCTGATCCTATCACCATCCCCATAAACTGAGAAATGCTGCAGGGATCATTAGGAGAATTGAGCCTGGATCCTGGTCAACCCTCTGAATTCCCTCTTTCCTTTTTCCTCTCAAACATGAAGAGCACTTAGTTTAGGTTTTAACTTCTGCCTTTAGGATTTCTCTCCACACAAATGTGCCTCCTCCCATTGCTTTTATCCCCAATTCCAGCTGTTCACATGCCTCAAATCTGAGTTCTCCTGTCCCCCATGCCAGTGGAATATGATGTAACCTTGTAGTTTTGTAAAAATGCTTGTATGCATGACCTGTGCTCACAGTCCCAGGCTGGCTGGGAGTCAATACACTCAGAGAATCTAAGGGTTGCTTCTCATTTCTCTACTAACTGTTGCATTTCGTCTGGCCCCTTCCTTTCCAAAGCCCAGGGATCTCAGCACTCTTCCCTGGGTAATCTGCTTATTGTGATCCCTATACACTGCCCTCCACAGGCCAGAGAAGGACGGGGCAGCCACTGGAGTGGACTCCATTTGCACCCACCACCCTGACCCCGTGGGTCCTGGGCTGGACAGAGAGCGGCTGTACTGGGAGCTGAGCCAGCTGACCCATGGCATCACTGAGCTGGGCCCCTACACGCTGGACAGGGACAGTCTCTATGTCAACGGTGAGGAGCTGTGATTGGTTGAACGCTCTTCCTCCTTGCTGGGCAGTCTCTGCTCTCTGGTCTGATGTGATGTTCCCTGCATGGACAATGAGGGCTTAGCCACGTTGTCTACATGTGATGATTGGGTTTCCTGGTTCCTTCTTAATCTTGGACTGAGTCCATCCTTGGGACCTTCTTCTCAGATGTCAGGGTGCTGACATAGACTCTCCAAGGAACGTCTTTCCATTGCATCAGGGTAACCCTTACCCCTATTCCCTGCCTTCCCGGGTCTCCCTTAACCCTTCCCCACTATCCTCCCTCCCTCTTGCTGCAGGTTTCACCCACAGAAACTCTCTGCACATCACCAGCCGTGAGTATTCAATTGATGTTCCCATGTCCCCAGTCCTACTCCAAGCAAGGCAGGAGCTGAGCCTTCCTCATATGCCTTTATGTCCTCTTCATGAGGGACGGAGCTGGGAGGGCATGGGTTATCCACTTTCCCCTCTGCCCCAGGTCCGCACTGTCTTAGCTCAAGCCCCACGTGCAGCAAGCCCCATAAATAGTCTTTCCTGCTGGCAATTCTGCCATGAGAATGCTTACTGATTTCACTGATGAGGGCTTCTCCTCAGCTCCTGGGACGTCCACAGTGAACCTGGGAACCTCTGGCACTCCACCCTCCCGCCCCGGCCCCACCGGTGAGTACCAGTCAGTGGCACCTCTGTTAAAGCATGCCCCGCGAGGGTAAACATCTCCGCCATTTTCACTTAAATAGAAAAGATAGAAAGCCATGGGAAATCTAGTGATGAGAACTCAACCAACAAACTTCATTGAGCACCTACCCTGTGCTAGAGGTTACAGCAGGGAAGACAAAACATATAAGAATCTCTGACCTCAAAGAGTTTATATTTTCATGATGATGATGGGCATGGTGGTGATGATGATAGGGATGATGGTGATGGTGATAACAGAGGTAACAGGTCACATCTAACATGACTGAGCACTGAGTATGCACCAAGTGCTTATGCTCAGCATGTAACTTCTATTATTTCATATGCTTTTAAAAAATTTCATCATTATAGGCAATGGAGGCATGGAAACCTTTTCTTCACTTACTCTTAATCCATTTGCATGTATTTAAAATTAAGTCTATTGCAAACTTGTATTTTCTGTTCTTTTGAACATAGTGTTGATTTTCCATCTTCACTATAGCTGCTGGATCTCTCCTGGTGCCATTCACCCTCAACTTCACCATCCTGAACCTGCAGTATGAGGAGGTCATGCGTCACCCTGGCTCCTGGAAGTTCAACAGCACAGAGAGGGTCCTGCAGGGTCTGGTGAGAGCCCCGCCCACTGATACCAGCCATGCCCAGCTCGCCCTGCCCCACCCACCAACATAAGCCACGCCCAGCTCACCCTACCCTCCCAATTCACCCATTCCCACCTACCTCACCTATTCCAGGGCCATGAAAGAAGATCCCACCCAACTCACCCCTGTCCCCAGAGATGCAAGAACAGCCAATAATGCCAGCCAACCTTGCCCCCTTTGTTTCTGCCTCACCCCTACACCCACGGCTGCCCTGTTCACCTCCCTCTCCCTCCCACGCAGCTCAAGCCCTTGCTCCAGAGCACTAATGTCGGGCCTCTGTACTCCGGCTGCAGACTGACCTCGCTCAGGTGAGACCTTAGAATAGCTAACAGGGTCCCACTAGTGTTTCACAGCCCAACAGATTCGCTCGGCTTCCTTCTGGCCCTCCCTGTGGATGTCTTCAGCAGAGGTGGAGCTTACGGACTGCTCGCTCCAGGAATGAAGTGTCTCTTGATCCTACCACCTCCCTTCTTACTGAAAGATTCTGCAGAGCTCATAGGCAGGATTGGGCTCCTGCCCTGGTCTTCCCTCTAAATGCCCACTTTCCCCCTGACCTCCTGCTGCTGCTCCAGGTGTAAAAATCTGTCTCCAAGATTTCTCCCACCACAAATGTGCCTCTTCCACTTACGTTAACGCCCATTTCCAGCTCTGCACCCATCTCAAATCTAAGCTTTCCTGGCCTTATGCTGTGAGAGAGCAGCTTTCACCTCGTGACCTTGTAAAAATTCCTGCGTCCGTGACTCTGCCCCCAGTACTAGGCTGGTTGGGTCTCGGTGCACTCGGGCAGTCTAAGTGTGGGCTTCTCACCTCACTGCCAGGTTTCTTGTTTCCTCTGGCCCCTTCCCATTCTGTCCCCAGGAATCTCAGCACCTTCTCCAGGTAATCCATTTATTGTCATTTCCCTCACCTTCCCTCCCCAGGCCTGAGAAGGATGGGGAAGCCACTGCAGTAGATGCCACCTGCACCCTCCGCCCTGACCCCACAGGCCATGGGCTGGACAGAGAGCAGCTGTACTGGGAGCTGAGCCAGCTGACCCATGGCATCACCGAGCTGGGTCCCTACACCCTGGACAAGGACAGTCTCTATGTCAATGGTGAGGAGCTGTGATGTGCTTGGAGTCTCCTCCTCCTTGCTGGGCAGCCTCTGCTCTCTGGCTTGAAGTCAAACTCCCTGCCCAGCCATCGAGGCTAGGACATGCTGTTTATATTTGGTGATTGAGGTCCCAACCTCAATGTGAGGGTATTGGTAGGGAATCTCCAACAGCTCCTGCTCCATGAAACTCCTTCCATTGTACCAGGGTAGTCCTCACCCCTGTTTGTTTCCCTTCAGTTCTACCTTAACCCTTACCCACTGTCCTCTCTCCCTCTTGCTGCAGGTTTCACCCACAGGAGCTCTCTGCACACCACCAGCAGTGAGTACTCAACTGATGTTCCCATGACCCCAATCCTACACCAAGCAAGGTGGGAGCTAACCCCTCCTCATTCCTCCTCATGTCCTCATCAGGAGGGAAGCAGCTGGGAGGGCACAAGTTATTCCCTTTCTCCTCTGCCTCAGCTCCAGAATCCCAGCTTAAGCCCCACAACGATTCAGTCCCACACCCCATAAACAGTCTCTCCTTCTGGCAGTACTGCCATGTGAGTGCTTGCTGATGTCACTGATGAGGGCTTATGTTCAGGTCCTGGGACGTCCACTGTGAACATTGGAACCTCTGGGACTCCTTCCGCCCTCCCGGGCCCCATGGGTAAGTACCACTCCATGGCACATCTGTTAGAGCATGATGTCTGAGGATAAACATCTCTGCAGTTTTCACTCAAATAAAGATAGGAAGTCATAGAATAGACAGTGTTGAGGAGTCAACCCACAAACTTTTTTGAGCGCCTACTCTGTGCCAAGCCCTGGCAATGCACAAGGAAGATGATGGTGATGAGTTGGTGGTGATGAGGACTGCAATGATGGTGGTACTGAAGACGGTGGTGGTGATGAAGACGATGGTGGTGGTCATGGTTATGATAATGATGATGGTGGCGGTGGTGATGACAATGACATTAATGATGGTGATGGTGACTGTAATGGTGATGACTGCAGTGGTGATGATGAAGATGATGAGGGTGATGGTTGTGATAGTGGCTATGATCATAATAATGAGGCAATGATTGTTTTCATGGTGACAGTCGTGGTGGTGATGATGTGGATGACGGTGGGGCTGGTGGTGGTGACCATAACAGTAATGATGGTGATGATGAGAATGAAAATAATAATGATGGTGATAACTGAGATAGCATTTTCACATCTGTACATGATTGAGCACTGAATATGCACCCAGAGTTATGTTCACTGTGTATAACAACTATTATTTAATAAGCTTTCTTTTTTAAAAACTATTTTATCATTATATGCAAATGAGGCATAGAAACTTTTTATCACTCGCTTTAAATCTGTGTGCATCTATTTAAAAGTAAGCCTGTAGCAAACTCTGTTCTTTTCCCATCTCCACTACAGCTACTGAACCTCCCCTCGTACCATTCACCCTGAACTTCACCATCCTGAACCTGCAGTATGCGGAGGACATGCATCGCCCCGGCTCCTGGAAGTTCAACACCACGAAGAGGGTCCTACAGGGTCTGGTGAGAGCCCCACCCACCTCACTCTGCCGTGTTCACTCACCCCACCCCACCCCATCTGCCTCTCCTATGTCAAGGCCAAGAAAGAAGATCCCCCCCACCTCACCTTGACCACCAGAGATCCAAGCACCACTTACTGGTGGGAGCCCTGCCCATGGGTACCAGTCTCCTGCTCACCGCACTTCCGTTCCACCCCTGCTCATCTTCCTCTCCCTTCTCCACAGCTCACGCCCTTGTTCAAGAAAACCAGTGTCCACCCTCTGTATACCGACTGCAGACTGACCTCGCTCAGGTGAGACCTTAAAGCAACCACCAGGTCTACCTGAAGTGCTCCCAGGCTGGGAGATTTTGGTCTCCTTCCTTCCTGACATCCCTGCGGATGTCCTCAGTAGAGCCAGAGTTCAGCAGGCACTGGCTTCAGGACCAAGGTGTCTTCTGATCCTACCACCTCCCCCCTATACTGAGGGATTCTCCCAGGAACCATCAGGAGAATCCGTCCCCTATCCCAGCCATGACTCTGAAGTCCCTCCTTCACATCTCCCTTTGAATAAGAGCATTTTCTGTAGCTTCTAAATTCTGTCTTTAGGATTTCTCTCAAGACACATATGCCTCCTCTAATGGTTTTAATCCTCCATTCTAGCTCCTCACCTGCCTAAAGTCTGACCTCTCTTGTCACCATACACCAAGCAGGCAGGTTTCCCCTTGCAATTGCATAAAAATTCTTAAGTCCATGACGCTGCTCAGTGTCCCAGGCCGGAGTGGAGTCAGTGTACTCAGAGAATAGAAGTGTGGGCTACTCATCTCTCTCCCAACTTCCTCATTTCCTCTGGCCATTTCCCAGGAAGCTTGTGACACTTCCCTAGGCGATCCATTTATTGTCATGCCTCTCACCTGCTCTCCCCAGGCCCGAGAAAGACGGGACAGCCACTGGAGTGGACGCCACCTGCACCCTCCGCCCTGACCCCACAGGCCACGGGCTGGACAGAGAGCAGCTGTACTGGGAGCTGAGCCAGCTGACCCACGGCATCACCGAGCTGGGTCCCTACACCCTGGACAAGGACAGTCTGTATGTCAATGGTGAGGAGCTGTGATGTGGTTGGAGTCTTTCTCCTTGCTGGGCAGCCTCTGCTCTCTGGGTTGAGTTCACACTCCCTGGCTGGCCACTGAAGGTTTAGCCATGGTGTGTATATGTGATCATTGGGTTTCCCAGTTTCCTCCTCATCTTAGACTGGTTCACCCTTGGGACCTTCTTCTCAGATGTGAGGGTGCTGAGAATCTCCAACAGCCCCTGGTCCATGAAACTCCTTTTATTGCACCATGGCAGCCCTCACCCCTATTTGGTTTTACCACCTCTCCTTAACCCTTACCCATTGTCCTCTCTCTCTCTTGCTGCAGGCTTCACCCATAGGGGCTCTCTGTACATCACTAGCAGTGAGTATTCAACTGATGTTCCCATGTCCCCAATCCTACACCAGTCAAGGCAGCAGCTGACCCGTCCTCATACCCCTCACGTCCTCATCATGAGAGAAAGAGCTGGGAGGGCACAAGTTATTCCCTTTCTCCTCTGCCCCAGCTCCAGAAAGAAGCCAAATTCAAGCCCCACCTGCAACAAGCCCCATTAACATTCTCTCCTGCTTACGTTTCTGCCGTGAGGTGTGCTACTGATTTCACTGATCTGGGCTTCTCCTCAGCTCCTGGGACGACCACAGTGAACCTGGGAACCTCAGGGACTCCACCCTCCCTCCCCGTCCCCACCGGTGAGTACCAGTGAGTGGCACCTCTGTCAGAGCATGCCACGTGTGGGTAAACCTCTCTGCCACTTTCAGTCAGATAAAGATGAAAAGTCATAGAAAATCTAGTGATGAGGGGTCAACCAGCAAACTGTATCGGGCACCTGCCCCCGTGGTAGGACCCGGGGACACAGCAGAGAAGACAAAACGGATGAACATCCCTGCCCTCAGAGAGCTTATATAATTGGGATGATCACGATGAGGGTGGTGATGTAGATGAACATCGTGATGATGGTATTGATGATGAAGATGATGATGGTAGTGGTGGACATGGTGGGAAGGATGATGAGATGATGGTGGTGGTACAAGTGATGGTCAACATGACAATGGAGGTGGCAGTGTTGGAGATGGTACCGGTGGTAGTGCTGGTGGTGGCGATGATGATGGCCTTGACCTTGATGATGATGATGATTGGTGATTGTCACTTTTTCGGGAAGGTTGATGTCATAATTGTTTCCGCGATGGCGATGGATGATGGTGGGGTTGTGGTGCTGGTGGGGAGGATGACAGTAGCAATGCTGATGGTGAAGGTGAAAACGTCAATGTCATAGTGATAACAAAGGTAACAGCTGTCATCTGACGTGGTTGAGCACTGAATAGGCACCACAAGCTATGCTCAGCGTATAACTAGTACTATTTGACATGATTGTTTTAAGAAAAAAAGCTTCTATCATTATAGCCAATGGAGGCATGGAAACATTTTCTTTTATCAATCACTTTAAATACTATTGCACATGATAACCATAGGTTTATACCATAGCCATAGGTTTATGGCCAATAGGTTTATACCATAACCATAGCCATAGGTTTATGGCCAATTTTAGATCTTTTCCCTACTTTTTAATAGTGTCTTTATTGACCACCCCAACTACAGCCACTGAACCTCTCCTGACGCCATTCACCCTCAACTTCACCATCCTGAACCTGCAGTACGAGGAGGTCATGCGACACCCTGGCTCCTGGAAGTTCAACACCACGGAGAGGGTCTTGCAGGGATTGGTGAGACCCTGGCTACCCTAACTCTGTCACTCCCAACTCATGCAGTCCCACCCACCTCACCTAAGTCAGGGCCATAGACGAATATCCCACCACTTTGGCTGCCCCGCACATGTATGCAAGCCCCACCCATCTAACCTTTGCCACGCCCATAGAAGAAGATCCCACCCACTCACCTCATTCCTTGCAGATACAAGACCCGCCTACTGGTACAGGCCCCGCCCACCTCACATCTGCCCTACTCCTATCTCCTCACTTCTACTCACCTCCCTCTCCCTTCTCCACAGCTCAGGCCCTTGTTCAACAACACCAGTGTCAGCCTTCTGTACTCTGGCTGCAGACTGACCTCGCTCAGGTGAGACCTTAGAAAAGGCTCCCAGGGCTACCCTAAAAATTTCCAGGCCCAAGGACTTTTCTGGGTCGCATCCTTGCTATGCATGTCCTCAGTAGAGGTAGAGTTCAGGAGGCACTGGCTCCAGGACCAAGGTGTCTCCTGATTTTACCACCTACCTCCTCAGCTGAAAGATTCTGCAGAGGCCATCATCATGACAGAGCCTCTACCCTGATAATCCTCCTGAATTCCCTTCTTCCTACCTCATTTTGTACAGGAAGAGCATTTTTTTTTTCAAAGCTCTGCCTGTGCTACCCCCAGGAATCTCAGGACCCTTCCCTAAGCAATTCATTTATTGTTACTCCTCTCACCTGCCCTCCGCAGGCCTAAGAAGGATGGGGCAGCCACTGGAGTAGACGCCACCTGCACCCTCCACCCTGACCCCACTGGCCATGCTCTGGACAGAGAGCAGCTGTACTGGGAGCTGAGCCAACTGACCCATGGCATCACTGAGCTGGGTCCCTACAAACTGGACAAGGACAGTCTCTATGTGAATGGTGAGGAGCTGTGATATGTGTGGTTGGATTCTCCTCTTCCTTGCTGAGCAAGTTCTGCTCTCTGGCTTCAGGTCTCACTCACTGCCTGGCCATTGAAAGCCTGGCCATGGTATAAGCATGTAATGATTGAGGTCTAAGCTTTCTGATTTCTTCATCATCCTGGACTCATTGATCCTTGGATGTTCTTCTCTGATGTGAGGGTGCAGATAGAGAATTTCCAATATCCCCTGCTCCATGAACCTCCTTCCATTGCACCAGGGTAGCCCTCACCCCTATTGGGTTCCCCACCTCTCCCTTAACCCTTACAGACTATCCTACATCCCTTTCTTGCAGGCTTCACCCATCAGAGGCCTCTGCACATCACCAGCAGTGAGTACTCGACTGACTTCCCAGTGTCCCCAAGCAGGGCACTAACTGAACACTCTCCATTCCCCCTCAAGCCATCATCAGGAGGGAAGGAGCTGCGGGGGGGGAGAGACAAGTTATTCCTTTCCCCCTATGCCCCATCTCTAGAGGGACTCAAAATTAAAACCCCACATGCAGCAGCCCTATTAATAGTCCCTCCGACTGCCATTTCCCCCATGAGAGCGCTTGATAACTTGACTGATGTGGACTTCTCCTCAGCTCCTGGGACCTCCACAGTGAACCTGGGAACATCTGGAACTCCATCCTCCTTACCCAGTCCCTCAGGTGAGAACCAGAGAATGGCACCCCTCATAGAGCATGTCTGATGAAGGCAAACATCTCTGCCATTTTCACTCTAACGAAGAAGAAACGTCATAGTATATCTAGTGATGAGTATTCACCCAACAATGCATTGAGCACCTACCTTGTGCCAGTACTGGGCATACAGCAGAGAACGCAAAAAGAAGTAAAAATCTCTGTCCTCAGAGAGTCTATATTATCATGGGGATGATGGTGGGAGTGATGGTGATGATGGCGATGATGATGATAATGATGATGATGATGTCCTGGTTATGATGATGTGATGATGGTGGTGATCGGGATTATGATGATGTCTGCATTGGAGCTGATGATGGTGTGGTGACAAGAATCATAGTGATGGTTACATTGAGATGAAAATGTTTATTACAGACATCACAGATAATCTCTGACATTATTCAGTACTGAAATGCACCCAATGCTATGCTCAGCATCTAACTACAACTGGTAAATATGCTTTTTCTAGAAAAGGAAATGCTACAATTATAGGCAATGAAAGCATGGAAAAGTTTTATTATATCAATCACTTTAACTCCTGTTACATGAGATAAAAAATAGGTCTATTGCCAATTTTTATATTGTATAAATATTTTAACACAGTGTTTATTTTTCACCCCAACTATAGCGACTGAACCTCTTCTGATGCCTTTTACCCTCAACTTCACCATCCTGAACCTGCAGTACGAGGAGGTCATGCGACACCCTGGCTCCTGGAAGTTCAACACCACAGAGAGGGTCCTGCAGGGACTGGTGAGGACCCTGCTCACCTAACTCTGTCCTTCCCAAGTGATACATTCCTGCCCACCTCACTTAAGTCAGAGCCATGAAAGAGGAACTCAGCCACTTTGTGTGCCCCGCCCATGGATTTAAGCCTGCCTGACATTTGCCACCCCCCTGGAGGAAAATCCCACCCATCTCACCTATTCCCTACAGATGCAAGCCCCACCCACTAGTACCAGAGCCACCCAACTCACATCCGTGCTGTCCCTATCTCCTCACTCCTACTGACATCCCTCCTCCTTCTCCACAGCTCAGGCCCTTGTTCAACAACACCAGTGTCAGCCCTCTGTACTCTGGATGCAGACTGACCTCACTCAGGTGAGACCTTAGAAAAGCCACCCATGGCTACCCCAAGAGTTTGCAGGTCCAGAGACTTTGGTAGGTCTCCTTCATGCCCTCCATGTACATGTCCTCAGTAGAGGTGGAGATCAGGAGGAACTGGTTCCAGGACCAAAGTCTCTCCTGATCGTACCAACTTCCTCCTCCACTGAGATTCTGCAGACACCATCAGCAGGACTGAGCCCCTACCATGGTCATCCTTCTGAATTCCCTTCTTCCATCTCACTTTGAACAGCAGGAGTATTTTTTTTTTTTTTGAGACAGCTCTTCCTGTCCTACACACAGGAATCTCAGCACACTTCCCTAGGCGATCCATTTATTGTCATGCCTCTCACCTGCTCTCCCCAGGCCCGAGAAAGACGGGACAGCCACTGCAGTGGATGCCACCTGCACCCTCCACCCTGACCCCACAGGCCATGGGCTGGACAGAGAGCAGCTGTACTGGGAGCTGAGCCAGCTGACCCACAGCATCACTGAGTTGGGTCCCTACACCCTGGACAAGGACAGTCTCTATGTCAATGGTGAGGAGCTCTGATGTGCTTGGAGTCTCCTCTTCCTTGCTGGGAAACCTCTGCTCTCTGGCTTCAGGTCACACTCACTGCCTGGCCATCGAAGGCCTGGCCATGGTGTATGCATGTAATGATTGAGGTCTTAGTTTCTTGGTTTCTTCTACATCTTGGACTGAGTTCATCCTTGGGACTTTCTTCTCCTATGTGAGGGTGCAGGTAGAGAATCTCCAATATCCCCTGCTCCATGAACCTCCTTCCATTGCACCAGGGTAGCTCTCACCCCCATTTGGTTCCCAACCTCTCCCTTAACCCTTACAGGCTATCCTGCTTCCCTCTCTTGCAGGTTTCACCCATCCGAGGCCTCTGCACATCACCAGCAGTGAGTACTTGACTGACTTCCCAGTGTCCCCAAGAAGGGCACAACCTGAGCACTCCCCATTCCTCCTCAAGCCATCATCAAGAGGGAAGGAACTGGGGGGGACAGACAAGTTATTCTCTTTCCCCTATGCCCCATCTCTAGAGAGACTCCAAATTCAAACCCCATATGCAGTAAGCCTATTCATAGTCCCTCCTGCTGGCATTTCTCCCATGCGAGTGCTTGCTGATGTCACTGACGTGGACTTCTCCTCAGCTCCTAGGGCCTCCACAGTGAACCTGGGACCATCTGGGAGTCCATCCTCCTTGCCCAGTCCCTCAGGTGAGTAACCATCAGTGGCACCTCTGCTAGAACATTACTGAACGAAGGCAAATATCTCAGCCATTTTCAATCTAATAAAGATGAAACGTCATAGTATATCTAGTGATGAGTATTCACCCAACAATGCACTGAGCACCTACCTTGTGCCAGTCCTAGGCATACAGCCAAGAGCACAAAAGAGATAAACAATCTCCACCCTCAGAGAGTCTAAATTATCATGGCGATGATGGTAGCAGTGATGGTGATGATGGTGGTGGTGATGATGATGGTGATGATGACAATGACTGTCCTGGGTATGATGGTAATGAGGATGTGATGTTGGCAGTGATCATGATTATGATGGTCACTGTGTTGGAGCTGATGATGGTGTGGTGACAATAATCATAGTGATGATGACATTAATGATGATATTGTTTATTACAGACGTAACAGATAATCTCTGACATTATTCAGCACTAAAATGTACCCAATGCTATGCCCAGCATCTACCTAGTACTGCTTAATATGCTTTTCTAAAAAAGAAAAAAATTCCATCACTATAGGCAATGGAGGGATGAAAAAGTTTTATTTTATTAATCACGTTAAGTATTGTTGCATATGATTAAAAAATAGCCAATTTTTGTATTTTCTCTACTTTTTAATACGGGGTTTATTTTCCACCCCCACTACAGCCACTGAACCTCTCCTGATGATTTTCACCCTCAACTTCACCATCCTGAACCTGCAGTATGAGGAGGTCATGCGTCACCCTGGCTCCTGGAAGTTCAACACCACTGAGAGGGTCCTGCAGGGATTGGTGAGGACCCTGCTCACCTAACTCTGTCCCTCCCAACTAAGACATTCCTGCTCCCCTCACTTCAATCAGAGCCAGGAAAGAAGACCTCAGCTCCTTGTTGGCCCCGCCCCTGGACCTAAGCACCATCCATCTCACCTTTGCCACGCTCATGGAAGAGGATACCACCCAGCTCACATCATTCCCTACAGATGCATGCCCTGCCTACCTCACATCTGCCCTACTCCTATCTCCTCACTCCTGCTCACCTCCCTCTCCCTTCTTCACAGCTCAGGCCTTTGTTCAACAACACCAGTGTCAGCTCTCTGTACTCTGGATGCAGACTGACCTCGCTCAGGTGAGACATTAGAAAAGCCACTCAGGGCTACCCCAAGAGTTTCCAGGTCTTGGGACTTTTATAGGTCTCCGTCATGCCATCCCTGTGCATGTCCTCAGTAGAGGTGGAGTTCAGGAGGAACTGGCTCCAGGACCAAGGTCTCTCCTGATCCTACCACCTTCCTCCTCCACTGAGAGATTCTGCAGATACCATCAGCAAGACTGAGCCCCTACCCTGAACTTCCTTCTGAATTCCCTTCTTCCCATCTCACTTTGAACAAGAAGAATATTTTTTTTGGAGACAGCTCTTCCTGTCCTACCCCCAGCAATCTCAGGACCCTTCCCTAAGCAATCTATATTCTCCTTTCTCTCACCTCCTCTCCCCCAGGCCTGAGAAAGACGGGAAAGCCACTGGAGTGGATGCCACCTGTACCCTCCACCCTGACCCCACAGGCCATGGGCTGGACAGAGAGCAGCTGTACTGGGAGCTGAGCCAGCTGACCCATGGCATCACTGAGCTGGGTCCCTACACCCTGGACAAGGACAGTCTCTATGTCAATGGTGAGAAGCTGTGGTGTGCTTGGAGTCTTCTCTTCCTTGCTGGGAAATCTCTGCTCTCTGGCTTCAGGTCTCACTCACTGCCTGGCCACTCAAGGCCTGGCCATGGTATATGTATGTGATGATTGAGGTTGTGGCTCCCTGGTTTCTTCCTCATCTTGGATTGAGTTCACCTTTGAGTCCCTCTTCTCTGATGTGAGGGTGCAGATAGAGAATCTCCAATATCCTCTGCTCCATGAACCTCCCTCCATTGCACTAGGGTACCTCTCATCCCCATTTGGTTCCCCACCTCTCATTCAACCCTTGCAAGCTATCCTGCTTCCTTCTCTTGCAGATTTCACCCATAGGACCTCTCTGCACATCACCAGCAGTGAGTACTCGACTGATTTCCCAGTTTCTCCAAGCAGAGAAATCACTGTCCAATCCCTATTCCCCTCTGGCCATCATCAGGAGGGAAGGAGCTGGGAGGGAGGAGACACGTTATCCCTTTTCCCCTATGCCCCATCTCTAGAGAGACTCCAAATTCAAACCCCATATGCAGTAAGCCTATTAATAGTCCCTCCTGCTGACATTTCTCCCATGCGAGTGCTTGTAGATGTCACTGACGTGGACTTCTCCTCAGCTCCTAGGGCCTCCACAGTGAACCTGGGACCATCTGGGAGTCCATCCTCCTTACCCAGTCCCTCAGGTGAGAACCAGAGAATGGCACCCTGATAGAGCATGTCTGATGAAGGCAAACATCTCTGCCATTTTCACTCTAACCAAGATGGAACATCATAGTATATCTAGTGATGAGTATTCGCCCAACAATGTATTGAGCGCCTACCTTGTGCCAGTACTTGGCACACGGCAGAGACACGAGAGCTAAAAAATCTCTGCCCTCACAGAGTTTATATTATCACGTGATGATGGTGCCAGTGATGGTGATGATGGTGATGGTGATGATGATGATGATGATTGTCCTGGTTATGATGGTTATGATGAAGTGATGACGGTGGTGATCAGGATTGATCTGATGATTGAGCTGATGATGGTGCGGTGCCAAAAATCATACTGATGGTGACATCGAAATGAAAATGTTTATTACAATGTTTATAACCTCACAGATAATCTCTGACATTATTCAGTACTGGAATGTACCCAATGCTATGCTCAGCATCTAACTAGTACTGGTTAATATGCTTTTTCTAGAAAAAAAAAATATTCTACCATTATAGGCAAGGATGGCATGGAAAAGTTTCATTATATTTATCAGTTTAAATACTGTTACATATGATAAAAAATAGGTCTACTGCCAATTTTTATATTTTGTAATCCTTTTAGCATAGTGTTTTTTTCCACCCCAACTACAGCCACTGAACCTCTCCTGGTGCCATTCACCCTCAACCTCACCATCCTGAACCTGCAGTACGAGGAGGTCATGGGACACCCTGGCTCCTGGAAGTTCAACACCACGGAGAGGGTCCTGCAGGGATTGGTGAGGACCCTGCTCCCCTAACTCTGTCCCTCCCAACTCATACATTCCTGCCCACCTCAGTTAAGACAGAGCCATGAAAGAGGATCCCAGCGACCTTGTCTGTTCTGCCTGTGCCAAGTACTGGCACAAGGTAGGGTCAAGTACATTGTTGGGCGAATACTCATCACTAGATATACTATGTGTTCATCTTGGTTAAGTGAAAATGCAGAGATGTGCAGAAGTTCGCAGTGGTCCATTCCCTTGACACGAGACTGGAATGGAGATGATCGGTCCAGTTGTTGTGTGGGGTGTTCGCTCATGCCTACAGCTCTCTCAGGTAGAGATCACGCAAGCAAGCGCCGATGGTGTAACGTGCTGCAGCGCATCGGCAGGGACACTACTTAATTGCTGGACATCTGATCTTGCTATATTGATTGTTTTTGAATTTGTAGAGACGGGTCTCGCTCGGTTGCTAGTCCTAGGGGTGGTCTTCTCTTAGAAACGTACTGCTGAGGCTACTAGAGCGGAAAAGAGGGAACTATACACTGTGTCTCTCCTGCTCCAGCGTCCTCTCCTACCCCTCCTGATGATGTCGCAGAGGGAATAGGGAGTGCTGATGAGACTCTGTACAGATGGCGTGAGCTGCTTGGCAGAACAATGTGGATTATATCAAGTCGATGAATAACTCAAAGACGTATGGTGTATGTGTCTGTTTGTAATGTTAAAGTGCGAGCAGGTACCTATGTTGTGAAATTGTGCTGCTTGGAGTAGGAGGAATGCGAGGTGTAGTTGCAATTTACAATGTAAGACATGAGGTGGCTACATTGTCCCTTGGTTCCTGCGGCCCATATGGGATGGTGAAGATAGACGAGTTGACTCATAGTACTAGAAATTGGGAAGGAATGTTGGAGCTTCATGGGCGAAGGGAGGGTTATTGTGTAAGATGAGTGGGTATATCGTGCTCACCTCCTGACATCCAGAAGAAGAGGTCTTGGGGGAGATAGGGGAAGAATCCAAGATGTATGAAGCAGAGAAATCAGAAGAAGAAGCTACGCCTCAATCATCACATACGGTATCACCATGCCAGGCCTTGTAGTGGCTCAAAGTCATGTGTTATGTAGGACTATTGTAGCAAGTTGCCAGAAGCAGAGTGATATTCCCAGAAAGGGGAGCATCAAGGACGGAACCAACGGCATCCTGCACCATTGACAAGGTCTGAATAGAGTAATCCGTCACCTGGCTGTACCAGGGGTGTAGGGTCTCGAGACCTGACAGAATAGATTTTAAAGTGATGCATGGGTCAGCTGGCTCAGCTGCTCCATATTGCAGTAAGTTGCATCAGCTGGCTCCTCTGTCCTAAGATGTCACCATGGTCCCTCGCTTGGTGTTGGCAGCGGATATTTAGAATGAGCATGGAGTAGTACGATCCATCTTTTAAAGTAGACTTCTCACCTCTATTAACTCTTTCTTTCAGAGACTCCTGTGGAAGATGGATTTTGATGAGTCAGAGGACAATATCTTGGCCGATCTAAATGGTAACACTGACATAGAGTTGATTGATAAAGGGATAGTACCTCTGAGCATTGGCTGGTTGGGTAAGTGTTCAGGAATAATAAAGATGACTAGTACATCCAAAATAAGATAGTTTCAATATTTAGTACAAGTGAAGATGGGGAAGAACAAGGTAAATTGCAGTAAGGACAGAACTCTAAGTGGGTTAGCTGGGCTCTCACATGTCTGAGGTAATTTCGAGATAATTAAGGCACGTATCTCACTCAATGGAGGAAAGAAGCTTGGTATATGTGATTAGGACAAATCTCCCTGCACACTACAGATTAGGAGTCCATAGAAGCAAGCTGATTCAGGTCTACAACACTACGTCTACAAAACTAGCCATAGAACAACTAGCAGGGAGGAAATTCCCATGCAACGAAGCGTTGAGTCTAGCATGGTAAACACTGAGCAAATGAATGCACTCCATTTGGGTATATCAATATGTGAGATACTCACGCCACTAACATTACATAATAGAAAAAATGGGTGGCCAGTGTGGTGATTCATTGCCGTGTAATCCTAGCACCTTTTGAGAGGCCAAGGCAAGGGTCACTTAAGGTTCAGGGAGTTTAACGGCGGCTGGGCATATAGGCAGAAAACCCATTTCAAGAAACCGGTTGTCAACAAAAAATATAGACTTGCTATAATTATAAAAAAGTTACCCTAGTTTCTAATTCTTCAAATTTTTCAAAGATGATCTTTTATGGTCAAACATAAAATCTTGCTTATACACATTAAGCACTGCATTTTTTGTTTCAATTACTTTCCTTGGTTAGAATAACTTCTCTTATAAAGCTTTCAAAGGTCTGGATGCTGGTACTAAAGAATATCAATATTTTAAAACGCTTAATCACAAATGAAGCTGGCGTTAGTCATAGGCCTAAGATTACAATATATTTGGCCTGATATAGGTGGGAAAAAAAAGATACAAAGGAACTATGGTGAGGCCACTCTGCACCTCAAAGAGTTTAACGATGGTACTTTGTGATCCAGGAAAGATAACGGTCCGTTGGACCTGGGAAATCTGGGTGCGATTTATATCATTGATAATTTACATACCCTGGGTGGCTCTTTGCTAAAATGGTCATTCGAACTAAATAGCGCAAGTCAAATATGAAAGTTATGCATCCAAGAGTACAGAGTGATATGTCCATGTTGTTGAATCATAAAGGGCCTGAGCTGGTGTGGAAGGGGGAACAGTGCTATTTTAGGAAAAATTATTAAGGACGGGAAGTGAGAGAGGACGATCGACAGACAGGGCTGAGTAGGCGGTTGAGGTGGAATGGGGCGGTGCAAGTATGAGTGGGGGATGGACGGATTTAGTAGTAACTTACTGTACGGCGGCTTGCTGATGTAAAGCAGCATACAAAAGCTTGGATGGCTTAAAATGAGGCAACAGATATTTAGAGTATTTGAACTAGAGGACTTGGGCTTGGAGAAAATTGTGAGGAATGATGTGAGCTGGGTGGGTCTTCTTCCATGGTTGGCAAATGTGTTATCAGGGGTGGGGCGAGTGGTGTGGTGTGAGACTTCCCTAGGTGTGTTAAAAGAAGAAGGAAATTCTTAAAAAAGCGGAGGATATAGAAAGGTTACGGGATCCTCTTTTCATGGCTCTGTCTTACTGAGAATATGAGTGGGCAGGAATGTGGGACCATGTTACTAAAGGATTCTGGGGTGATAGGATGGCAACGATGTATGATAGTAGGGTGTGCTCGGTGGTCCTCACCCTCTGCTTGAAGAAATAGGTCCTGTCAGTAGACTCCGGGCTGGTTGTTGGTGTTGTAAATTTTTTGGAGTGAGCCAGTAGGAGCAGTGAATCGCAAATAGAAATCGACATCCTACATACTAAGCAAGTTTTGTTAGGATAGGGATCTGGTGCTGAGGAATAGAGGATGAATTAAGGAGGGGCTAAAGAAGAGAGATGTATGGATATCAAGGATCGGGCTGTAGTTGAGGTGGAAAAGAGACTATGCCTAAAGGATTAATAACCAATGATTTAGGGATGTAGGCAGTTGGTTTAACAGGCCTAGTGCTTTTTTATAAGAGTCATGGCAGAACAGAAATATCGTAACAGTATTTACTGATAAATATATGAAACTTTTCCATGTGTTTTTTGACCATCCTTGCCTATCAAGGGTAGAATAATTTTTTGGTTTTAGGCGAGCATTGATTGCATAGACCCCAGATATTAATATGTTAGATGGCTGTATAGCTAGCATTGTAAAGATCCTAATTCCATAGTACTTAAATACTCTAGTTATCTGTCAGTCTCTGATAATTAATGTGAGTGAGAGATAAACATTGTAATAAACATTTCATTTCGATTCACCATCAGTATGATTTATTATAGCAGCTCGGCACCCTATATCAGCTCTCATAATTTCATCGAATCAATCCTGATCACCACCATTCAATCACATTCTGTTGATGGTTTAGCTAATAAACGCAAAGCTAACCAGTTGATAATAGGCCTTCATCAATCATTATCAACATCATACACTTATTCATCACATGTCATCACTGACTCGAATTGGCATCCGAAAACTGTTCATGACCATAGAGGGCTAAATATATAAAAACTAAACTCGGTAGTAGAGAAGCAGGTTATTGATTTAGCTCTTGTGTTCTCTCGCTTTGTAGGTGCAAGGAGCATTATTACACAGGCACGAGGTGGGCTCATACATTGTTGGGCAAAAGTGATCATCAAAAAACTGGATTGATGATATTATTGATGTCCCATCTGTTTTAGAGTTGAAATAATGGGCAGAGCTTGTTGTGAAGCATTTTACCCCTAAAGAACTACAGATATTCTACCCAATGCAAATCTGCGATTAGTGAAAATGCCATCTCTAGGCACGTCACTGAGACTGGGCAAGGAGATGGTTTGGCCCAGAACCTATTTGAAATGTCAGGGTCCTAGGGATTAACAATGCTGTGTGAAATGAGGCCTCACATAAGGGCTGAGTGTGAGAAGCTGGCACAAGGTCGTGACAATCCATCAAGGAATAGCACGTGTCTTCTAATGGAGATAATGTATGTGGTGGGAGCTAATTTAATAGGCTTATTGCATATTGGGTTTGAATTTGGAGTCTCTTTCTAAGATTGGTTAGCATTATGGGGGAAAAGAGATACCTAATACACTTGTCTGTCCTCCTCCAGTTCGCTTCTCTACTCTGATGATGCTTGAGGAGAATGGGGAGTTGCTCAGCTTGTGGCCCTATTTTTTGGGACATAACATATTCTGGTATTGAGTCGTCGAGTAAATATACAAGTGCTTAGATCCCCACAACTCTGCGAAGGTAGGTTATTAGTTCGGGGATGTACATTTATACAGAAGAGGGCCTCGTGATGATAGAAAACAACACTGCATGGATGAGGAGAGGAGGTAGTCGGAAGGGTTACCTTGTTAACAGGGTTTAAGGGAGTGGTTGGGAACAATCTGACGCGGTGGGGGAAAGGCAAGCTGTGAGTATGTGAGCTATGCACATGGAGGAGTCATGGAGCAGGGACTTGTTGGAGATTCTACTATCCTGCAACCCTCACTCTACTTTCCATAAGAGCGCATAAGGATAGATGTTTCCACAATTGTCTAATGACTACTCAGACACTACACAAAGTGCGAGTGTGAAGAACTCCTCCCATATAACTCAAAACCTACTACTCCATTTTTCAATTATAAATAATTCAATGGCTACATAACCTCACATAGCGCAGGCTATCGATGGCCAGGTATGGATGTAATGTGATAATCTACCTGAAGCAGAGAGCAACGTAGCCTGGTTTCCAGCAAGGATAAGAGGAGGACTCCAAGACAAATCAGAGCTCTCACGTAGAGGCACTAGAAGACTTCCTTGTTCGTAGCGCCTATCCTTTCTATATTCTAAGAAATATAATAAGTATGGTGTAGACACAAAGGATCAGTGTAGTGCTGTGGTAGCTCCGGTGGACGTGTTCCGGGTGGCTCACGCCTTAGATCATAGCCCACTTTGGGGGAGGCCGAGCGGCGGGATTGGCTCGAAGGTCAGGAGTTCGAAACCAGGGCCGGAGCGACCCCCGTCTTACAAAAATAGAATATAAATTATTGACCACTAAAGTTATATACAAAAAATTAGCCAGGGGCATTGGCGCACGGCCTGTATCCCACTATCGAGCTGACGAGTAGGATCGCTGAGCCGGAGATTCAGGTGCTGTGAGCCCAGGTGACGCCACGGCACTCCTCTATTCCTGGCAACAAAGTGAGACTTTCTCAAAAAAAAAAAAGAAAAGAAGGAATATGAAAAGGTATAGCATCAACGGTGCGTAAGAATAATTTTAAAGGCATTGTTGAAAGGATCATATACTTCTAATGAACATTAGTTGGATAAACTTTAAATAT